AATATCCAGAAACAGGGCCACAAGAAAGGTTATTTAAAATCATTGGTTATTATTAGCAGGTGCAAAACGCAAAGGAGCCCAGAGCGGTTGGGAAGAAGATTTACTGCAAATAAAGTATTCTATTATTAAAATAAAAAAAAATCTCTGAAATAAGAATTGTGAAGATTTATAACCATGGAAGTTCCAAATGAAGATGTTCTCTCTAGGAATAGTCTAGAGATGCTTTTCTTGGTCCTCTGTCTTGCACTGTTCTGTCGTGTTATGCTGAGAGGCCCTCAAACCCCGCTGCAGCTCTTTCCCACCACACCACAGCAGGGCTTTGTTTGCCTCAGGTGGGAACAAAGCTGTTTTTTGCATCTTTTTTCATTCTTCTTCAGCTTTACTGATGCTTCTACTAACCCAGTACAAAGAGCCTTGGATAAGTTTACAGAAATAACTGAAATGATAGATAAGATCCAAAATAATGAACACTAGTATTTAGAACAGTTTGGAGCTCAGGTTTTAATTTAAGCCGTACCTGGAAATCCAAGTCCCAGGGCATGACTGTGTTTTAACTTCTGTGTTTGCACAAACTGCTCAGTGCCAAACATTTGTTTTTTCCTAATGGAAGCATTATGCTGTCAATAGTCCCTACAGCTGGTATGACTTGTCTTTCTCCTATCATTGGAGGATTTCCAAACATGAGAGAGGCATAAACACAGCCTGAACTGAAAATCTGCTTCAAAATTGGGTTCCTTTCTTAAATCAGGATGAAAAGAATGCTTGAAAACAGCGAGGAGGAGCTGACCAAATACTGCAAACAGTGTTCTCCATCAGAGCTGGTGATGCTCTACACCAACAGATTCCTGCTTTCCACTAATGTTCAGGTCTCTTCACTTGTTTGATAAGTATTTGTTTATTGTCTTTCATCCTGATTTTATTCATATGAGTGGCAGTGTTTTATGTCCTTGAATCCAGTTGCTAAGACATTATGAGAGCAAATGATTAATTTTTTTCATCAAGATAAGCAAGCAGAAAAGGTTGGCATGAAGTGTTTTTTGGTGGTGCTCTCTGTCAATTTTATATTTCAAAGAAAGCTAATAAATAACAAAATTATTTGTTTGGAAACACCAGAAAAGGCAAGGAAAAACAAATGTCAAGACAAGAAACAAATTCTACTGTGGCTCAGGCTATTTGCTCGACTCAGGAGAAGAAGGTGCTTTCCTGAATAAATCTACAATAGGGTCAGGAAGTGTTTTGTGTCTTCCCTTTGTCCATCTCTCTGATTAGCTGTTAAAGGCATGCTCAGTGTAAGAGAAAGATTGTGACTGGAAAAGAAACAGGTGAAAATAAACTTCTCCCTTTATTTTAAAGTGCGTGAATTGAGTATTTAAAAAAAAAAAAAAGGGAAAAAAAAAAACTTGGCCACGAGTAAGTTACATAACTTAAGCCAGTCTAAAATTATGTGCCAGCAATTTACATGAGTTTTATGTAACTGTTTATACTGCTGTTTATTTAAAAATTACTACTTATCTTGGCGACCGCAGCAACACATCGTGCATTTGCTAGCTCTGGAATACAGGGCACCTTCATTAAAACACATAGTCACCAATATATTAAACACACAAAAAAGCCCTGCTCTGACATAACATGAAGTGTCAGATGGAAAGCCGCAACAGCAAAGACATTCAGCGTTCACAACAAAGCAGCCCTTTGGGGTGTTCAGAACAGGACTGGAACATGCTCCATCCTTAATTCACCCAACAGCTTTCAGGTCCTTTACAGTACAGTTGGTGCAGTCTACAAGACCAGCTCCTGTTCCTGGGCTCTCATAAAGGACCCTCTTCATCCTCAGCTTTCTCTGCTTGAGCATGTTTATAATTCAGCATTTACATGCTGAGGTGAGGCAGCCTTTTGTTCTTCCTTAAAGTCCCAAGGACTCCAGCGTGACACAAGTGGTTGGTAATTTCTGTTTGCTCTCTCCCAGCACTCACTCTTCACAAAGGAGGCAAAGATTCAGCTATATCTTCATGATGGGTTGCTCATGCTCAAATTACATAATTTTTAGGTCCAGATCCACCACCAGGGTAAGACCATGGGTGAGTGGATTTGTATTGGTACCAGGAAGAGCTGCAGATATCCCACAAAACCAGGCAATGGGAACAACACTGCCCTAACACCTGGATTTTGCCCTTGTTTTGGGGCCTGTTGACTGAACCAGGTGCTCTACCCCTCCTTACTTCATTTTGACTTCTGTAAAATGGGAAAACTGGTATCCATGTCTTTCTAGGAGGCTTCTAGCCAAATGAAGCAGTATAGCAGAATATTATATATTATTTTCAGATGACCATTACAGTAGAGAGCTGAAAGCTGGCAATGCAGAGGAGGAGATATAAACTGAAGTGATAAATTATTTCTGTCGATTTGCATTTCTTTAAAGCAGTATCATGTCATCTTCTCACTTGAATGAGTAAAAACATGGGAGGAAAAAAGTTTGTTAAAGTTATAAGCAAGCAAGAAAATTCCAAAGCTTGTTATGAGTTTCTTTATGACAGATATACTTTGAAATGAGGGGGAAAAGAAGGCACTTTTCCAACACAGCTGTTGAAAAAATATTTATTTTTCAGTTATGGAAATTTTTATTGAAACGGGGAGACGGGTTTTTTTCCAAAAGTGAGTTTTTAAATAAATATATTTGATAATTAAGTTTTGAGTAACTTTGGATACACCATCTTGTTAGGTAAATATCCTTTAAAAGGAGGGTTCTGAAGCATGATAACCATAACCTGGTCCACAGGCCAATATCATACTCCCATGTTTCAATTCCATGGGGCTCAGCCACCACTGGCTATTTATTTATTTCTTTTATTTGTGTAAGCTTAAATAAATTTAAATATGCCTCTTGAAGTACCAGTTTATATCTGGGCAGCCTCCAGTCCATAGAACAGTTAAAAATTTGGGAAGATCAAAAGCCTCTTAGAGATATTTCTCTCACCCTTAGCTTTTGCTTTGTGCCGCCTGGAGTGTGACCTAGCACTGCCCCTCTCCTGGAGCAGGACACTCAGACATGCCTGAGGATTCCAGTGATGGCAGGATTTGCTGCAGAATTCATCCTGATTGAAATGATTCATGCTTGACATGAATCCCTGAAAAGGAAAAATGGTGTCTGAAGTGTCTGCAAGCCTGTTGACAACACATTCAGCAGTTTGAGCAGGGTTTCTCCTTCTGGTTTCTCCTACTGGGATACAGAAAACACGTCTTAAGTCTGCAGCATTTGTACAGTGTCTGCAGTGATTGAATACAAGTGGAGTTAGAAACCTTGAAAATCACAGTTTACAATGGAAAGTCTGACAAGCCATCAAGTTCAATGTTACCTTTAAGTACTCTCTATAATTAAACTGTCAACAAAACCCTACAATATGGTACTGCAACAGTCTCTACTTTTTCCTACTAATGTGCAGAGATAGCTTCCACTAAAGGTGGCAGTAATTAGGTATTTAAAACCCGTGGAAAACTAGAAAAATACAGAGTGAAAGAAATTCAAAGAGAATATAAAAAACTAATCTTTTCATTGCAGCAAACACAAAACTGTTGCAGAGCATGCTGTGCATTCACAAACTGCAATCATAGAAAGGGAGCGATTAGGGGAGAAGGGAAAAATGAGTTGTGCTATTGATACTTGGCTGTTTCAGAAAAATGTGCTGGCAGTTAAATGTTGTATACACTGAACAAGAAATTCTCTGAAGCCATTTTCTTTTAACGTGAAAATACCAGCGTGACACCGCCAGAAGGTGAAAATTCCACATGTTTAAATTAGAATACCTATATTCTCTGATCTATTCAAAATTATCAACTCCAATACTAATGAATATACAAATAAAGTATCTAAAAATTATTCTGCAAATAGGTTTTAGGAAATAAAGGAAAGCTTGATATTGAATTATTAAGTGTAAATCTAAGAAATTAATGAGATTTCCCAGTTTCTACCATAGAATAATTCAAGAGATTAATTTCACTATGGTTTTGATAGGTTTTCCTGGAAATTTGAATCTGAAGGTACAAGTCATTAAATCCCAGAGGTATGACTCCAGGATTAACCAGGATGGCATCTCTCATTAAAAAGGATTAATTTAAGAAAAAAAGGCTGGTTTCCAGCCTTCAGCCATCTGTTCCTCACTTGTACATATTCTTTTTTTAAATGATCCAGTAGTATTTCATGGTCTGCTCGATACTATTTTATGTGCACAATAATTTTTACAAGTACTGAGGAAGAGTATGGACAGCGGCACTGCTGATTCCATGACCCCTGAGCTCAGCAGGAACAGGAGTGACAGGAGCACTTTGGTGAAGGTGCCCATCACAATTTGGGCTGAAGGAAAGGTTGGAGGGGTCTGTAAGCACTCAAATCCTTCCAAAAGTGGGTAGAGCTTATCAGGTCCTGGTGGAGCTCTGTAATTGTAGTGACCAGAGCAGCAGCAGGCTGAGCCAGAACCACTGAACCAACCATGAGGCTCCAGTGAGTGTCTGCTCCAGGGAGAATATTTCTATCCAAATTAGCCAAGGGAAGGCTGAGGGCCTGAGGAGCCAAAAGGACTCTCTGCCCATGCCCACCTGTGCAGATCCAATGCAAGTCAGTGTTTTTTGTTGGTTGGGATGTATAAACTGCCAAATGGCACTAACAGGTCCAATTCCTTCATCTTCTCTTTTCCACTACTTCTGTTTTTAAAAGGAAATTGTTCAAATGAGGACAGTGGTGACTCAAAGTAATTTGTATTGCAATCTATTTTTAAGTATTCTTTCCTGAAAAGCTTTTGAACAATATTTTGGTTTTGTCTCCCATACACAGACATATAATTTAATTACTAGGTATTTGCTATACATTACTGTTAAACATGACTTTTAATATCCACATGGACTGGGAAACTGCCAGGAGAAAAGTTAAGCTGTGAGTGATTCAAGCCCTTTGACTTCTTTACTTGGACTGGTACCTGACTTGATTTTCTCCTGCTATTTGTTTCTAGTGGAATGGAGTTCTTCAGAAGACTTTTCTCCTTTGGCTGGTGAAATAATTATGGATAATCTTCACTCTTTGAGGTGCTCCATCACAGGTCTCAGGACGGTGAGTTCCAGAGGACTCATTTAGACCTTCATGGCCCAGTCCCCACAGTGATACACAGACAGGAGAATTTGCATCACCACCCCTTGGAAATCACTGCAGAGCCTTTCTTGTAGCAACACGTTCCAGTGATTGAGCACAGTATGTCTGACAGCCATAATCCAAAAGTTGCAAAGGAATAGAATCATTTTTTGAGTTATCATTCTCGGGAGAAATTGGGAAAGCCTGGAGCAAAAGCTGATGTTTTCTGGATCATGGGATAATCAGTGCAGATCAAAGGCTCTTGAGAAATCTAGACCTGACTCTGATGACCCATACCTCAAATAACAACTTTTTCTCTTCTCCTTCTTCCAGAAATGCACATGTTGATGGCAGTCATTCTCATTTTTGTTGTCTTTCTATATCTCTTTTACACCAAACAGAACTGGGTCTCAAACCTTATCCTCAAATTTTTGTAGTTTGTTTCAATCTATCATGCTGCATTTAAATTACTTAAGCTATTTTAATTTCTCACTGAAACAAAAAATCTTAGTGAGCCACTGCTTTGCAGTTGTTACAGCCCAGGTTTTGAATCCAGTGATAGTTTTGACTCCAGTTGTTTCCATTTGCAGGGCCAGAGATATTGTGTCCGTGTCTCAGCATACAACGTGAGAGGATGGGGACCTCCACGCAAATCCACTCCTGAATATGCTTCACCTTCAAGTAGGTTGGGTTTGTCTGCCCTCCCATTTTGCTTAGTGATATTGGAGTTCACATTGTAATTATCATGTTGTCTACGAGTGAAGTAAATAATAAGACTCAACTCCTTCCAACCACCGAAAACTGAGCAAAATAATTTATGTATATTTATGTCTTAGCTTTTATTCTTCTTCAGTCCTTTGACAGAAAATTGTTTCTAGTCATTAACACTTTTAAAAATGAAATATTTTAATCTTCGTTTCTGTTAGGAGGGTTCTGATATATGGAACTTCATTTATCCATACGTGAATGGATCAAAACCTGATTCTGAGCTGCTAGAAGCAAAACACTTACATGTATCCCATGTAGTTTTATGTTTTACCTTGTAGCATTACAGATCCCATTCACTGGACCATTCTTACAGCATCCTGTACATAAAATTCTCCAGTGTGGACACACATGGTGGTAGAATGTAGCCTGTAAATGTTCCAGAAATGTCCAAAAGCCTTTCTTCCTTTTCCACCCTTCAACAGGTCATCTCAGACTCCATTAGGGCTACAATTTGTCATCTGTAATTTTTAATCTATTATAATCACATTGCATTGTTAGTTGCTTTTCCAGACTTCATGTTCTTTGCCAAACTGGCTCAGTGTATTACAGCTCCCCTTGTATTGATTAATGCAGTAAAGTGGGACTTTTCTTTTTATTGCATTAACACTAGTTTTTATTAGGCTAATGTAGCAATTTAATAACCTTGGATGCTAATGTGAAAAAATATAATAAACTGTACCTACTCTCAGTAGTCATAATAGAGAGGGTTGGATAAATAAGGCTTTAGCATTACCATTGTCCCATTTTGCTTCAGTTTTGTTCTTGTGTTTTCTCCAGAACAATACCAGAACTAGAGTAAAGAAATATTCTGCTTGAGAACAAAAATGGGCTACAATCATGGGAGAAAATCTACTGTGGATAACTGAATAACTTAGTGATGTGCAATTACCTTGACTATAGCCAGGTATAACTACACAGGACTTGGCCCCAGAAACCCAGAATTTACATCAGCTGGGGGACAGATTCTTTCACAGTAGCTGCCAGTAATTCAGCCAAATATCCCCAAAGAAGGAGCACTACTGGAAACACAGGTGGTATTTAAAACTGCAACTCTGTATTATGTGAATGTTGCTTTCAGCATATTGCATTCTCTTCCCTTTTTATAGCCCCCTGCTATTAACCTTCTCAAATCTGACATTATGTGCCAGCTCCAAAGTTTTGGGGTGTGAAGGAAATCTTCCTGCAGATTTCAGTGGATCAGCACAAAAGCTACAGAGAGAATTCTGTTCATTCCCCTTGTACAGTATCTCAGGGTGTAAAGAGCTCTGGAATTGTTGTCTTCAGGGCCACATGCTTAAGCTTTACAGTAAGACCAGCAGAGCCTAAATGCAAACCTTTTCATTAAGTAATACTCACATTAGAGAGGTAAGATGTTATTTACCACTGCAGTTACTGGGGGCAGAGCTTCCCTCTTCACATGGCTGCCTTCACCGCTGGTTTTGCAAAGCAGCAGATTTGTGCTTGGCAAGGAGGCAGCAAACTGACATTACACAAGTGCTGCATAACAAAATATGGCTCTTACCTAAAATTTGAATGGGAATATATTAATGCTCTACAAAGTTGTCTGCAACAGCAGCCACAGGAATATTCAAGGGAGAGGAAAGCTGCAGGGCCTGACACAGATCCAGTCCAACCCCAGAGCATCAAAGGCTGGTGACACTCTTGGAGATGTCTGTGTGTGATGACAGTGAGCACTTCCCCCTGTCCTCCTGTTTCCCCCACACACTGCAGCAGCCTGGAAGGTGGTGACCAATGCTGTGCAGCTTCTCTGTGAAATCCCAGCAGACAGAAACATTTCTAGGTTTATTCATTATCCAGTGAGTGATGGACAATGAGGAGAGCTGGTCTGGTTGCTGTGTAATTTTTAAGGTAGTCAGCAATCTGGAGGTTCAAAAAGTTTGGAAACTACTGGGATAGAGAAATCACAAAGTTGTTTAAAACTCTACCAGTCTGATAACACCAAAGCACTTGGAGACTTGTGAGTTCCAGCTGGTCCCTCCTGGCTGCTCACAGGAGCTCTAGGGGCATTTTCCCCATAGAGAGCAGTAAATGCAGCTGGCCCTGATGTCTGCAGTAGCACAGAGCACACAGGACAGCCCCTCTGCGGCTGTCACACTGCTCACAGGCTATCAGGATACCAAATGTCTTCTCTTTCCAGCCTTTCATGGGGCTTACTCTGGCTGCTACACTAAATGTAAATAAACAGGTATTTATATCCCTGGCATAGCGAGCCCATTGGAAGGAATGCTTGACTCCAAACTTGCACTAGAAACTGGATCTGTATATTTAGTGAGTGAGCAAACTGCTGGTGGCTATGAGTACGTACACAGCCTCTGTGCCAGCAAGATGGGAACATGTCTCCTGTGCAGACAGATCTCTTAATACCTTCATCCACCATTCCTTTGGGCCAGCAGACTGCTGCAATGCGCTTTTCTCATTACAATCAAAGTATGAAAATAGGCAAGTCTGGAATTAAAGAGCTCCTTTCTGATACACACAGTTTCTTCCTATTTGAGATGAGTTTGTTGGTTTTTTTAAATGAAGACTGAAATTCTCATTAGCAGCAAGTGAGTGCCATCCAAGTCTGTTGGAGGTTGAGGGTGTGTGGGACAAGCACAGCAGGATTTTGCCTCAGGAGTGCAGTGCCTGAGCAGCCCATGGGCTCCAGGGCAGGAACTGCCAGCATCCGTCCAGGCCTCTGCTGGGAGCGGATCTCCAGAAGTGATTTTACTCCAAGAATGTTTCTCTGGCTACAGAGCAAGCTCTGGGTGTAGGAAGATGTTCATTCTCTGCTTTGCAGAACTGTGGGTGAGTTGTGGAGCCTCCTGGTGTTGGAAGCAGTGGCAGAAGGAGCACTGTGTGACCTTGCTGAGCGGCTGTGTCAGCCCTGCCTGCAGCACCAGAGCTCATTCATGGAGAGAAATAGCCATGGCCAAGTCAGACACTACAGGAGCTTCTCAGAGCTCAAGCTGGTTGTGAGCCCTTTGTTAATAATCATTATGATTAATTACCCAGCTGGCACAAGGCAAAGAAAACTCCGTGTACGAGAAACAACTGACTTAAAAACTACTCCTGCCTGCTGAGATGTAAAACTCCTCTAGAGCCGAGAAGTACCAGAGGCAAGAAAATATTTTTAGACCCTCTCCTGCACCTTTGTGTTTCATTTCTGTTTATTTCCTTTGTTCAATAGACTGGAAAGACTGCAGTGGAAGAGAGCCTCGGCACAGAGGACACACGGAGGCCCTGGAACGCCTCCTTCAGCAGGTTCGAGCAGCTCATCAGCACTATAATTGCAGAGGTAAGGATAAATATCTATGTGGTAGGGCACCAGCTGAAGCCTCTGTGGCGCCTGTAATTTTAGCAGTTTTCTAACTAGGTCATACCTTCTCATTCATCAGGAAAAGAAAGATATTAATATTGGCCCATCTGGAATCACTTTAGCACGCTATCTTGCTCTTAACCCTTGAAATTAGTTGGATGAAAACATCTGAAGGCTGCAATGTGCACAGACACAGGCACAGTCTTTCTCCCTCTGTACCCTACACACCTATTGATTTGTTTTTCCCCCCAAATTAGTTTCACACAGGATTCCACTAAAATGTTTCAAGGACAGCTTTTTTATATTTTCATATAAAGAAATACTTTAGACAGTTAACAACTGGTTTGGATCAAAAGGGAGGAATTGGCTGCCTCCAAATGGAAGACACTGAGTGGATGTCATGCCAATCCATAATGAAAAATACTTGCACAATGCAATGGGAAGATAAGATTGCTATATTTCAAAACAACATGGATCAAAACTAGGAGAGAGTTCATATCTCAGCCAATCTTCATTCATGAGAAACAGACTGTGCCTTTAATAGCTCAAGAGCCAAGGCAACAGCTTGGCATTCTTTTTAGAGCCTATATAAAAACTCCTGTTCTATATGAGTTGTTGAAAAGTACTATTTATTTTCTTAATATAAACTTCTAACTGGAATAATGCCTCATTGCAGAGGGACTTATTTTAAACAGAAAAGTTAAACTATCATGAAGTTTTAATTTTTCTTCACCTAGTACTACTGCTATGCCAAGTTGCATCAATTGATTTAAAATCATAGAAATACTTCGAGCTAAAATCATCTGGATGAAATGAAAAGATGCAGCCTTTGTTCTTTACATGCAAATTGATTACCATCACACTGATCCACGGTCTGACACAACCCATTGTAACCATAGCAACTTAAACTATTCATCTATGATGCTTGGAAAGGGAAAGGAGATATTGCAAGAAAATGTTGTTTCTCTAATTAAAATTCATGCAAACATTATCACTTGCAGGTGGTCTTGCTACTGAAAATACAGATGATATATTCTATCTCCTACATGGCTTTTCCTGCTATTAAAGAAGGATTTTTTCATGGTAAAGTTTTTCCTTTCTGGAGTTTGTGCCTATCTCAGCTCTTTCAGGCCACCTTTCCAGTCAACGGGGAGTAAGTGATGGAACATCTGAAAATATTCTTAGTATAAATTGTTTTACTGACATAGCAGCCCAGAACAGAAGCAGTTATAAACATCATGCAGAAAATCCCTCCTTTTGACATACTGACACCAGTGCCTGGTTCTTATAAAATTCCTCTGCTCCTGAAATTAACCCCAGTCTCAAAACTGAGCACAGACAGCTCCTTGTTGATTTCCTAACACCTTTTCCTTGAATAATAAATAACAATACAGAAATTAAGTTTAGCTCAGAACATTTTCTTCTGTGCCTGAAAGGCTGTGGGACCTCACATGGGGCAGTACCACACTGTCGAGTCAGCTTGAGCAACACCCTTGCCTCCAACCAAATAAAAATCTCATAATTGCTTGTAATGCTAGCATTCCACAGTAGTATATTTTGGATAAATCACATGGCATCATCATAGGAGAGCCTTTGGAGCTTGCCTTAAATATATCATGATGTCAATCCCTTTTATTTCACTAATTTGGTAAGGAATCAAAACAATGTTTGCAGGAAAAGTAAGAATTATGACATCACTTCGACTCAGAAATGTTATTCTGATATTTCTCCACCTCAGTGGAATCTGAGGAGTTTGATCAAGGATTTGGGATAAGCTGTGTATATGAGAAACCCAAATAACAGCTTTCACTTCACGTAATACAGAGGGTTGATTTCTATTCTTAATTAATGCAAATTAGCATGATTGACTGACAGGGTGGAAGTCAGCATGGCCCTGCTGTTTACACACAGGCTGAGGACCTGTCCAAGCATTTTTCTGTTCTTTGCCATGATTCCCTTTCCCACATTCTGGCTGATGCCAATCTCGTGATCTCTGTTTGCCCCGTTTGTTGTATTGCTGCCAGTAAAGAGCTGAGCCTTGTTTGAGGAAGGTCCCTGGATCTGCCTACAAGCACTGATGAGCTGTGAGAGCAGATCAGGCTCTGCAGGAATTGGAGCTCAGTGGGAACAGAGCTGGGATCAGAGCTGGGGTCCAGGCACCTTGGCTGCTCCCACAGTGGTTCCTGTGTGGAATGTCCTGCCCGTGCTGCTCAGGCTGGCTCAGAGCGCAGGACAAGTGACAGGAAGGTGGAAAAAAACGAGAGTAATCAATCTCAATGGTCTGAGATTATCTGAACAACGCAGGCAAAAGCCTCAGAAGCCAGAGGAGCTGGAGGACCAAGCCAAGTGCTGCTGCTCCTGCGGGATCTGGGAGGGGACATTGCCCACATTCCAGGCAGATCCTTTGCCCAAGTCTGTTCATTCAGGCTCTGCCTTTTGCCCTGTGCATTGCATTGCAGGGGCTGGAGAAAAACAGCTTACAAAAATACCAGGAAGAATACACTGGAATGTACAGTGAGTTTAAGAGCTTTTGAAATTAGATCAGCTGTTGCTTTTGAACCTGCTCTGTGATATGATGAAATCTCCTGGGGAATTACTTAGGAAGCTTTGCTTTCATATGTTTAATCTTCTGGAAAACCCTGATGATTACAAATAACAGTCATCCATTTGTCTTCATAATACCATGCTACAGACTATGGTAACTGAGTTACTACAATTGTATTTCCTGGCAACACTTCAAATATATTTTTTAAGTATTTTTTTTTTTTTTTTACTTGTAGATCTTTCTTTCTAAACAATTCAGAGTGGATTAAGTAATTGTGTGACACTTCATTAAGAAAGGAACCCAACTCTTCAGTAGAATTTTTACCAGATATTTTCCTTCTGAAATTCAGTTGAAATGTATTTTACTTGACAAGTCAGAGGTGAAATAAAAATGTTCTAATTTTAATTTGATTCACAAGCAGAGCACATAGTTTTAATAGCATTTAGCAAAGAGGGGGATCTCTGATTCCACAGGGCATTTAAAACGTTTAGATTATAATTCTTTTTGAGAATGTACAAAATGAGACTTGAGAACCAAGCTATAGACAGGTTGGGAATTTAAGAAGAGAGCCCAGATGCTCACAAGCTTGAGGAGGCAACGTGGTTCTTGCTCTTCCAGGAGGTTGTTTTTAAGTGTGGGCTGTATTTACATTAAAAAAAAAAAAAAAAAGCACAGAAATCTTTATACACACTCTACCTTCAAAGAGAAAGGCTGGCAATGCCATAAATACACCTTTTTATTTAATTGCCTATTTCAGTCCAGGCTTGAAAGCTTCTGATCTAAATCTAATCACTGAAAATTCTCCCATCTTCGCTGCTCTGTGCTCACTCCCAGGCTTCTATTAAAAGAGCTCACAGCTCAGATGCTGCATCATTTGTTAATATAAACTTACTGTGTTGCTTACTGGTGCTTTTCCATGAATGTTACTCTATGTTATTTATTACTTAATTAACCAACAGACAAAGTTCCATTTCCTGCAGATCCAAATTATCCTCTAATTTCAGCTCCATGTTTTCTGGCTTCTAGACACACAATATTATAAAACAAAAGCAAATAGCAATATAGGAGAGTTTACAGTCTCCATCTAGTTTTACATTAATTATTTTGCTGTTGGCTTCTGCAAAGCTGTGGACTAAACCCAAACCACTGAATAGACCAATAACATATATTTCACTTGTAATGTGCCCTCTTATTTTAATGATGCAATCTCTGGGTGTTTTATACAAAATTATGTTGCTTTGCCTTCAGCAATTTCCTCCTCCATTCCCTCTGTATAGATGGAGGGAATACAGAAGAAAATAATTAGAGTGAAATTTATATTGCTAAATTGATCTTAACCTTGAAAGAAGGAAACAGTAAGACAGGAGTTTTCATGTAGCATTTCATTTACATTACTGCAACACACTGAAAAATGTTCACAGTAAAATAACCATTTTCTGAGGGGGCAAGGATAGAAATACAAATGAATATTTTTAGAAGGAGAAGAAAACAATGGAGTAGTCATGGATTTGGATGAGTCTGTTTAAGCTGAAGGGTGCATTGGAGAATATGCCATGGAGAACAAGTTTGCACTGGAAAGACAATGGATTTGATGATCTAATAAGTCTCATACATCTGAACTGTATGATTTCACCCCCAACAGAACCTTGTTCTCTTTGTGTTCACTGTTCCACAGAACAGTAATTATTGCTAATAATGTGTCTGCTTGCTGGGGCTTTCAATGTGCCAATTGTGGTGCAAATTTATTCAGCATTTAAAATATGCCGAGCACTTCCACAGATGGGGTTTTGGAAACAACAAATTTAGACGTTCTTCAAATATTCCAAATTAGAACTCAGCAGGGACACACAGACAGGCACCTCCTATTCTGCACCAGAGGTAAGTGGGAAATACTCTGAGAACACCTAAGCAGGTGATCAGCAGCTTTCAGCAAGTGGCTCTTCATGAGTCATGTCTTTTTCCTACTGGAGAAGGGTGTCCCTCAAAATGTTTCACACTCCAGTCTAGGTGGGGATGCATGCTTCATCCAAATAAACAGATCCTGGAAAAGTGAGATGTGCTTTCAGAGTTTTTCATTTTGTCTTTCTTTTCATATCACATCAAATATGTGAAAAATTAACTCTGTTTTTCAAAGTACTTCTGCAGTTTCTCTTACAACAGCATTAAACAGCACAGACATTGCAAAAAACAAAACCAAACCCAGCGTGGCTTACAAGGCCCTGCATGAGAGAAGGGAAGACATTAAGTCAAATTCATGAAAGAGAAAAAGAAGGCAATGTATAAAAATTTAACAACATTTTCTTAGATTATTGGGACAATTTTATAAAATTCTTCTATTGGAGGGCTGGCCCAGAGATGCTGGCAGGCACACAGCAGGTCTCAGCTTTGACATGAAGTGAACAAAAGCGTTTTACACCTCTTCCTTGGACTCCAGATTACTGGAGGTAACTGTGGAAGCTCTGAGGCATTACTTGAGTGGAAGCAGTTGTGATGGAGGAAAAAAATTCCAAGCAACATCAGATGCATTTAATGTGGTGTACAGAAAGATGAGAGTTAATCTTGTCTCCTTAAAGCTTTTCCTTAGGTTATGTTGGTGATGCTGGGATGTCAGTGTCTGTCAGGGCACCAATTATTCACTTTCTAGAAGCTTAAGCTCCATGTGGTAAGAAATTTAGAAATTACAACACCCTAAAATGTTGACTGATGATTGAAATCCCTTCTTGGGTTTTTGAGACCACTTGCAAAATTCCCATCCTTTCTGAGCATTAAGAGTGTGTAGGGCTGGTTCAAGCTTGCCTCAGAGCAAAACAACTTTATCTTGTCTGAGTTTGCAGCAAGTAAGGAAATTGTCTGCTGCTGTGTATCCCTAAGTTAATGAAAACACCATCTAAGGGTTGCATTTGAGCATCTTTCTGAATGTTGTCTTTTAAAAGGAATGGGCACTGACTGAAATTTAGTACTGTGGTTCAAGAAACAAAGGTTTTTTATGAGACACTAACTGAAATTTAAGAGCTGGGTTGGGTTTGCTTCTTTTTCCCATTTCAGAAAGTTCTAAATTACAAAATGCTGGTCGCAAGCAATCGGTTTCCAGAAGCCTGAAGCACCTTTTCCATTCATCAAACAAGTTTGTGAAGACTCTGAAACGGTTTGTTATTACTTCTATGTTTGAGATATTCTGAATTTTAGCAGTTATTATTGTTCTGTATTAGAAAAAAGCACCTTACAAATGTGCAAATATGCCACTACTGATGAGACAGCAACAGGTCAGAATGGACTGATAAAATCACAGATGTGTAAAACAGGTGCAGCTGACAGGAAAAGAATTCTCCTACTGAAATCAATATCATTTTTAACTTGTTGCTTTTGGAAGTGGATTCAAATTGTTACAGAGTGAAATATTCTGTGCAAACCCAAAGTGCAGCTAATTGAAAGCACTGCCTCTGTTGCTGCTCATTAATGAAGCTGTGACATTCATTCATTCATAATATAAAGCACAGAGCTCAGATGACATTGGAATAGTCCACTGGCAACAAGGTACACATGTAAAACTCTGACATCCTCAGCTGGGTTTGCAGCCCACTGTGACCCAACTCGCAGCCCTGACAGTTTGTTTTAGCAAGTGGAAGTTGCTTATTCTGGATTATTTCTCCTTTCATTGCCAGGAGTGTTCAATTTGCATTTTCTTCTTTGTATTTTGATAAGAGTTTGATTGTTTCAGAAGAGCTCTCCAGAGTCTTTAAATTCCCTGCAGTAACTACTTAACATATGTAACTAATTGTGAGGGTAAATATTGAAAGGAATGATCTCTATAAACAGATTTGCAGATATGTTGGCCAAATTACATTCAATTATACCAATGTAAATCCATAATAACCCACCTGATTTCAATTGAGTTACTTCAGATTTACTCTGAAGTAAAGGAGGGCAGAATTTAAGCACATTAATGACCAGTTTTCGTAAAATCTCTGATTTTTAAAGGGCATAAGGCCTCCATTGTGTACTGTGTACTCTGGCAAAATTCTCACTGAAATTGATGTCTGTGGCTCACACAGATCCATAATCTCTTAGATTCATGTCTTAGATTCATTCCCATCATCCAAAGTGATAAACTTCCCAGATATTTTTCAGAAGTCACTGACTGAAGTTGCATGACTTTATATTACACAGAAGTTTAGACCAGGTGATTCACTTTGTCTCCTTAGAACTTAACATCTGTGATTCTTTGACTAAATTTGGCATGGATGTGAATAGACATGAAAGGTGTTTGATAGTGTTTCCTTCTCTCTTTAGGGGACTCTACCTATCTGTTATACTTTTTTACAAAGACAATTTGTTAGTAACCAATGAAGATCAAATCCCAATTGTGGAAATCGATGACTCTCACAGTAGTTCAGTTATGCAGGATTTCCTGTGGTTCACAAAGGTAATGGGAGTCTAATTTCATCTATTGCTTCTGCAAATTTGTTGCTAGCGATGCATAGGCCTTAGCTCATCACTCTGAATGTATGAAATGACATCATTAAAAAGCTGAACGATGAAATGCTTCATCACTCATGTTAAAGGCAATTTTCACAAAGCAGTCATGTGGATTAAATCCTGACTGGGCCACTGGCAGTGATACAATTAACTCTTCAGGTATGATCCTAGATGAGTGATTGCCATGTGGGTACATAAAGGTTTTATGGACATTTAGAGCGAGAGCCTAAAGAAATAACCAGGAGTTTTAAGTTTGCTATTGTGGTTGTGCCATCACACAAGTTGCCTCACACTACTTTTTTTATACCACAAAGAAAAGTAAATCAGTTTTGTACAATAGTCCAAAATCAATTGAAACAGGTTCATGATGTTTACAGAACACCTTCTGTGTCTGAGTCAGTATCTGTGTCATGTTTATCCAGTCAGCAGATTGCCTTCTGCAGAAACACCAAATGTGCAATATCTACCGATTTTTCCAAGTCCAAAATGCATTTTAGTATCACTTGTGCAAATGCTGAGAACAAGAACTGGTTGAAGTGGATGTGTTTTTGCAGCTGTCCTGCATGTGGGATGACATCAGGTGGCTGAGGCAGAACATGGCTGTGTCTGTGTCCTCATCCACAGCCCTCCAGGCCAGGCAGAAGATGCTTTCAGCAGCAGCACAGCTACAGGTGGGTCCCATGGCATATTTCTGTTAGCTCAGTGACTTTCTGATCTCCAAGGGACAGAGCTGCCAGCTGCCCCTGGGGCTGTTCTTTGGAGCAGTCCAGTGAAATGAGGCACTCTCCTGCCAAGGAGGAAGGAATTACATGAAAAGTAAAGAGTAGGAATAACAAAGGAAAGATACAATAGGAAGAAACAACAAAAGAAACAGATGAAGAAACAAACAGATATGAACCAGTAAATAATGACCAGGTAGAGAAGCCTGTGAGTTTGCAGATTGGGAGTTAAAAGTTATAATCTTAGTATTTGCTGCTCAAAAGCCTCTTATAGGTCTATTCATTATTAATTATTAATCTATTAATGAAGCATTTAAAGTCTGTTCTATTCCAATCTCTGCTAAAGATGCAACCTGAGTGGTACTGAACAGGTCACTTAAATCCTTCTGTGTCTCAGTTCACTACTTTTTATGCAAAGAGAAATTACACTTTCTCCAGCAGAACATTTCTACCTTTATTATAAAGCTTTGAAGTTGAGTTAAACTGGGTTTCACAACAACATGAAATCTCTAGATGGCAGGCAGATGCTTTCATTTAAATAGTTACTTCTTGGAGAAAATACATTTTCAAAAAGCTGTGTGCATGATTGTTACAGAAAAAGCATATCCAGGCCTCACTTTCTTCTACCTTTTGTTGAAGTTAGCAAAGCTGCTCAGAAAATGTGTGGTACCTTCCTGGCATTGTGCAGATCCTCCTTGCTGGGCACTGTGCTGGCCACACGTCACCCCACAGGCTGTGGCAGCACAAAAACCTGTTTGCAGCAGCTGGGAGAGCCACACACTCTGGCACATTGTTAAAATAAAAATGTGGGCTTTGTGTTACACCTTTTGGTGAGCATGCTGTGAGGAGAGCAGCCTTCATGGGCAACCACCTGTCTGATTTCCCCAAAGTGCCCCAAAATGTATCAGTGCCAGCCTGCTGCATTTATTGGAGGACCACCTGTGTTAAGCAGCAGCTGCTTTTCAGTGCTTTGAGCTGTGACCAGAGAAAGTTTTAACTGCATCTGCTGAATATTCCCCCAGTGGGGCTGGTTCAGCTCAGGTAGCACACATTTGGTTAGCTCAGGTCCATCCCCCTGTGCAGATCCCCTTTAACACAGAACTGCACTGGGACATGCCCAGCATTCCCAGTGCATCATGGTTTTATTTGCTACCAGAGATGCAAAGTGCAGAGCTTGAAACACCAAGACACAGCAAATGTGCCCATGTGGTGTATTGCCCTGCTGAGGTTTTGCCAAATTATTGCCCTAAATGTCTGTTCTGTTTGCTTGGTCCCTGAGGAACACAGGGATTGTCACCCAGCTGCCACCCTTTAACAGCGTGTGGCCCGGTGGGATCCACCAGTGGAAGGATCTCAATAAAGTTTATATGGTTGAATACTTTTTATTGAGGTGGTTAATAGACTGACTCCACAGAATTTAGGACAGAATGAAAAAGATCAGTGATGACACAGCTGCTCAGGGACTAGATCAGTAGATTCAGAGACAACAGGGACTGCAACTTTGCCTGTTGTTACCACCAGACAACTAAAGCAAACAAATCACAAGTGATGGGGCAAAAAGCTAAGCTAAACTTTTTCAGGGTATGAATCAGTCCCATACTGACATTAGTAGGTCCCCCATTCCCTGGGCTGGAATGTCATTCACAACATAGTGACAGTAAAGAACTGCTTGTTTCCATCTGGGCACATTTCACCTGCTGCAGTGATTAAGATGATAATTCGATTGCCAAGGACTATTGCCAGGATCTGCCCCAGCTGGAGACACAGGGATTAGCACAAAATGTATGCTCAAGACACCCAGAGTCAGTCAGAGAAGGAGACAAACCCCAAAAGGCAGAACAGTTTAAAAAGGCAGAGGAGAGGGGTGGTATAGACACCAACAGTCTGCCCTGCAAAGAGATGCACAAAGGTAAAATAAACAATTGATATCACCCAAACCCAGGCACTGTGCTGACTATTGAGAGTTTATAGACAATTTAAAAATATTAAAGTTGATAAGTAAATATTGCCTGCTAAGTGCAGATAATTAATTTCAGTATAATCTATCAGTTTACAATGTCATTAAGTTAATGTACAGCACCAAAGATACAATGTGCTTCACTGTGAATTCAAGTTTTCATTTCACACTACCCTTCTCCCTATCCAGCTTACTGTAGATCTCTTGAAAAATCACAAAGTAATGAGCATATTTTAAATGTTAGGCATTTTTCTTTAAGACATCTGGGAATCTCTTCAGTGGCTGGTCACTGGATTGAGTGTTTGCACCTATAAGCAGATGCCTTACTGTGTTAGGAAAGGGATTTTAACCAAAATATGTATTTTATGTGGAGTCTTTTAAAATTACTTTTCTTTAATCCTCACATATTTTCCTGGAGAGCTTTGCCTTGGTAGTTTTGTTAGTTTCTGCCTGTTTTGTCTAGCACATTCTTGGTATCTGAAGTAAAAGGGTTCATGTCTCCTCAAATCCTGTGCTTCACAAACACACTCCACAGTTTAGTTCCAGAATTATTTGCACTCAGCACACACATGAAGGTCTCTTGCTTTTGTTGCTGAAAATAATCTGAATAATTTTAGAACAGAGAACAGAGAATGGAGATTATAGTTAATGAACAAAGCAAAAAAATATTTAAAGTGTCTGTTTTGGGGAAAGAGGAAGAATTTTATATGTTCTCTGACATTTGCTTCTGGGAAGGAAGATAAGCACCCAGCTTGTTCAAATCAAGGGGATCACCAGCAGAACAATGAGTGCTTTCAAAAATTGCTTCCCTCATCTTTACATGACTGGGCAAAACAAGGAAATTTGCCCCAAATAAGTGAATTTCTTTGCAGTAAACAGGTGAATTAATTTGCCTTTTACAAAGGCATTGGGTTGTAAGAGTCTTCCTGAGGTTCTCCATGAAACATTGGAGTAAACACTACTGGACCAAGTGTATCAGAGGATCCACAGCTCAATCCACAAACACAACCTAAGGAAAACCATTTCCTTTTGCCACTAAATGATGTGGCTGTAAGGCAAGGGTGTGAGAAACACAGTGTGTCTCATTCTTAGTGAAGTCAATAGGACTGATGTCAATGTGCACAGTGAGCAAAGTTACACTTCAAACAATACTCTCCTGATATGTGATAAATAACTTCCATTTTATATTTGTTTTCTAGAATTTGCTGGGAACTCACAATTTAGGCAGAGTTTTTTACGAGCCAATTAAGGATCGACATGGCAATATGCTGATAGTTACTGTAAGAGAAGTGGAGAGTCTGTACTCATTTTTTAATGGCAAATGGATGCAGGTATCCAAACTACAAAGCCAGAGGAAATCCCTTTCAACTCCAGAGGAGCCAACAGCATTAGACATCTTGCTTATAACAATCCAGGTAGTGCTTTGCTTCTCTTAATGTGTGTTATTTGCTTTTGTAAAGCCTGTGCCAGAGCCCTGATTTTTGGAAGCATCTTGTAGAATTTTAGGCCTTAGTCCAGTGCCCAATAAAATTAATGGCAAGGTTCCCATTGAGAGCAAAGACTTATATTACTTCCAGTGGGTCTGGGATCAGATTCTTAATATGCAAAATATCCATGAGATTCTAAAGAAATTACTTCAAAGTCCTAGCAGAGAACAGTAGTTTCTATCGATTTCGGGAAACCAAGCTATGGAATTTTGTAGCAAGGGATATAAAATCCTTTAAAATTCTCTGGGATGTTCTTAAGCACCTATACAGACACTTAGAATTTCTACACTCCATAAGAATTTTCCATCCAACCTTGAAAACTAAATCTAGGTTTTAAACTTTACTGTTCTACTTAATAAACTTGTTCTGTGGGGTTCAGGGTTCCTTGGAGCCTGGTATAGCTGCAAAAGAATCCTTTACTGACCATAACCCTCCTTTCATTTCTGCATCTCATGCTCCTTGACTTGCAATCAGAAAAATGCCAAGGTAAGGACTGATCTCAGAAGGTGCCTGGCACACTCAGCTCAGTTACCATCACTGAGAGCTGTGGGGGTTCAGTCCTTCAAGAATTATCTCTGAACTCACATTAAACAGAAACACTTCATGTTAAGATTAATACATGTTTTCTTTAGGTAACAGCAGCCAATCTCCCTAAAACTGTTGCACAGTTACCCAAAATCCAAGACAAATCATTGTCTTAGTCCCTTCTTTAGCACTGTCCATGAGATGATGGTTGCTGTGGTTAATTTTTGAATTAGAGGCACTTTCTTGGGCACAGACTCTGCTTTTCATACCGGGAAGTGACAAGCAATCAAAATATATGTTACCAGGTTTTAGGCACGTTAAAAAATTTCCAAAAGACAATAAAACTTACCTGATCCATGCTAGATTTAATGTATTACAATGTGTTAAAGGTGCAGAAAATTGTCAATCTGGGCAAAAGTTTTATATTAGGAAAAGCAAAATACTGCCCTGATCAGATTTCCACAGAGATCCTAGTGGAAAAAATGTTCCCCTAATGGTTTACACATTCCTATCTAATGCCCACCCTTTCTTCTATTACTCGTTTAATCATTGAGTGGGTATTTTGTTCATGAAGTGCTTGTGAAAATGAGGGTCTAATTGCACTGGTCAGAGCCAAGCATAGCACTGGCAGATAATTTGATGGTTCCAAGAGTCAAGGCACAGGGCCAGGTGTCTTAATCCTCACCCACTGCAGAAGCACACATTTCTCAGGATGGATGGCAGCAGACATCATTTTTCAGGTAGTTTTGGAAAACTGCTATCCATAGCCCTAAAAATGTCTCCTGGCCTCAGCAAATTCACCATCAATAGTAATTTCTCCTAAGCTCTATTTGTTGATAAAGATATTTGTTCAGAAAACGCTGCCACTAATTCAGTTTTGCAAACTGCCAACCCCCATGCTGACAGAGATCTTCCTGTTGACAGCAGGTGATACAGAGCAGGATTTGGAGAGATGTGGGCTGGGATCTCCCTGGGGACAGTCCTGGCTGCTGCAGCCCCTCTCTCCCAACTCTTCCCCAGTGCTGCTCTGCTCCCTCTGTGTAGCCAAGGACCAAACCCGACCCAGGGAACTGCTCAGCTGAAAAACAACTGCTCCTTTTCCCAAGTTGTTTTTCAGAGGAATCAGTTCCCTGACCCGGCTCACCACTGAAATGATCAGAAGGGAGGCAGAGGTGGGGGTTATTCAAGCCAGTTTAAACACCACAGTTGCAGAAGATTGAAACCTCAGGTTGTCAGAGCCAATTCCTGCATGACATGGAGACCTTAGAGATCCTATGTATGGCTTTAAGTGAGAAGTTGTCCAAGTGCACCCAAGCTACCAGAGATTATTCATATGCTTACACATGTGCTTAAATACTTTTTGAATTGGGAACAACGGCTGTAGAAACATTTGTTGTTTTTTGCTCCCAAACTCTTCCGCTTATCTGGAAAAAAAGATGAGATTTTTATGTAGGACTGTTTCCCTTAAAACAGGACATACTTTCCTATCACAAACGAAGCCAGCAGCGCCTCCCTCCCGGCTTGTACCTGGGTTACCTGAAACTCTGCAGTTCTGTGGATCAGATCAAAGTTCTTGTGCTGCAGAAGCTGCCCAATGTCCTGTGTCACGTCAAAATCCGAGACAACAGCAACGTCTCCAAGTAAGTGAATATACACATACACCTGCACACACACACACAGAACAGTTGTTTTTATTATATAACAATTAATGCCAAGGCACTTCTGCCACTGCAAAATTGTAGGTGGCAGCATGGTTTGGCTCTGGTGTGTGGCAGAAGGGTTTGGCTCCAGTGTGTGCCATCCCAGAGAGCAGTCCTGAGCTGAATAGGTGCACCTGAGTTTTCCCAGCAGGCTGAAGAGCTATTCAGAGCACACAGAGAGGGGCCCATTGGTTTCTAAGGATGGTATTCCATGGGTATTCCAGTTCTGCACAGGGATAATGACCTGTTCAGATCATAGCCTGCAGCCCTGACTCAGCCTTCAGTGGATTCAGTGCCACCTTTTCCATGGATCTGCACTGACTATGGGGTGGTGGTGTGGATAATTTTTCTGTTTATTCTCTTGTGTGATACCTGTTTTTATCACCCTCAACCACAGCAAACACACAGCAATTGAAAACCATATTTATAAATGCAACCAGCCAGCAAACTGCTGTGCTCTGGGAAAGCCATTTTCCCCTTGTCCAGTGCTTCCCTTATCCATTGGCATCTCCATACACTGTTTGTACTGCCTGGTCCTTGCCTAGCGGGCAACACATTTTACTGACCTTTTTCTGGAGCTTTTTAATCCCATATCATCTCAGCAACCAGCTGAGAATTTTGCATGAGGAAAAAGGAACAGGATATTTACATAAACAAGGATATCCAGAATGTAGTAGTGAATACTAACAACAGTGTTGGAAGGAATACAAAGGCTAAGGCCTCAGAGTTTATAACAATCCCCAACTCTTGAAGTTTAAGATCAAATCTTTATTTAGGAACAGATTATACCACAACTATTACTTGTCTTGTAGTGGGGTTTCCTGTACATTATTTTTTTTAATGTTTGATGCTGGCTGCTTTTCAAGACCAAATACTGGGCAGGGTGACTTAGGGATTGGATCCAGAACTGTGATTCCCATATTTATCAGGTTTCAAATAGAGACATGTGGAGGAAAGCAGGAAGTTCTTTGGCTGCAGTAAGAGGATAGTCCTTCACAGAGATCAAACTTCCTGCTAATTGTAGCAATTTCCAATGCATGTTTTTTAAAATATTGTGGTAGATAGGGAATGAAGAATATGAAAGAGAAAGGCTGAAGTGAGAAGCCTTACTGAAATATTTCAAAGGCAGTTGGACTTCCAGAGGAATGTTCAGCTTGATGTACATGTGCTAGAAAAATAAAACTTTTCAAAGGTCAATCAAGATTGCACAAGTTTAGAATGTTTTGGTATATGAGGATTAAATGATCAACAGATCCCAAATGCACATACACCGAATTCCTGCTTGTGCCTTGAACTGTTGTTATATTTCTAATTTTAACTTGACTCAACATACAGAGATGAGTGGGAATGGATCCAAACACTTTCTGGCTCAGAATCCATGGAAAGTATGGATCATACTTCAGACTGCCCTACTCAATTGTTCTTGTATGAGCTCCAGACGGCAGTGAAAGCTCTCCTCAAACAGATCAATCTACCTCTGCATCAGGTATTTGCCTTTGTGGGATTTATCACCTTTTTAAAACACCATTCTTAAGAATGCAACAAAAATCTACGAACTGTGTCACTGAAAAGCAGGGATTTAATGTCAGGGCTTCAAGAAAACCAAAGCAGAGAAGTTTTGTATTCCATTATTCTAAGGGGGAAGATCTTCTGTAAAACAGTTCTTGACCTGGACATGTGAACATTCAAGGATTAAGAGGCAAATTTCAACCACCTGCTTTCTTCATCTTTTAGCTTATTTGTGCAACTTCAGGCAGGTACAAATGAGAAATTTTGCATAAAAGTAATAGTTTTGAGCACCTTTACAAAGCTGACAAAGAAAAGAGGCATTTTTGCAGGCAAGCACAGCAAGTGACTGTTTTCTGGGAGGCTTTGAGTGGGGTTGTAAGAAAGGCCTGGTTAAGACACAACATTTTGCTGTTCTTTTGCACACAGATGAATGTACCCCTTCTAAAACACAAAGTCCCAGACCTCCAGATTGCTGTGGGTGAGGAGAGGTGTCTGGCTTCTGGCTTTACATTTAGATACAAGAAATACATATGTGAATAAATAAAGTCAGGGAGAATAATCTACGATGTGAAAGATCCATGAAAAAATAAGCTAAGAAGTTTGTTTCTTGTTTACATGAATTCCATTTTATTTTGGTCTGCAGGGGTAAAGAGGTCTTAAAGTAGAAGTAAATCATCTTTATATTCACTTCAAGGTCTGTTTGTGCAGCTAGAAAGATGTGGTCTTAAAATAAATTAATCTGGTTCTACATTTCTTGATTTTGAAAAGTTTAGGCTTTGCTTTTAAAAAGGAATCCATCAGTGCTTCACCTTCTAGCCCGGGAAGAGCCAAGTAAGACTCAAGTAAATCCAAAATTAAGACAGATGGTGTGCTGCCTTGTGGTCAGTCACTAATTCAATAGGGCTCTGTACAGGTCTCTATGTTACTGCATTTGCTTGGAGGTTATATCTTTTGTGCAACTTTTTTTTTTTTTTTTTTTTTTTTTTTTTTTTTTTCTTTTAGACTTAGGGACTAAAATATTGAAATCACTGTGCAATGTGTTCCTGAAGCTGCAGCTCAGACAAGCATCTGAGCTCATCTATTGTGCCTGAGAGATAGGCATCAACATGACCTTGCAGTTAAATACAGATGCACCAAACTTTTATGTTAATGAATTGCATTTTTAATTCCACAGATTGATTTATTTATGTATTTTTATTATTTTTGTGGTAACCAGGAGCGGGGACAGTGGCACTGGGGCACAGCCAGGGCAGAAGGCAGTGCTACACACAGCAGCTCTGAGCAGCCTCAGGCCACTTCTGCCTGGGCCATTTTCTCTTGCTGCAGCACTTGTTAAACCTTTTCAGTGCTGTGTTGAGGGAGAGCTGCATATTTCTCTTAACCAACCCTAAATTGAATCTTAAAGGTTTTTAATTGAATCCATTTTCATGTTTTCACATAATTATGCAATCATAATCTTGAAAAGCACATGGCATGTGATCATTTTCTGCCTAATAAGAAACATAAATGTTGTTTTCAGGGGGGCTGTGCCTGTGTGTGTTGTTTTAATGTGGAACATTGCAGCTTTAAATCTTTATTTTATGTAGTGACATGAACCCACATTTAGCCACCACCACCCCCCTGCCCCAAATATTTACGTTTTATAAAAATTCCGAGCTTGATGTTGTGCAAATTTTCTTTAATGTTTTATATCATTTGGGGTGTTGTTTATATAAGTGCCATGTTGTAATTCTCTCCTATTCCTTCCCCCGCGCGTGTCCCTGTACAGGCTAAGCACTTCCGTCTGTACACACAGGAGGTGTTGGAACTGGGTCACAATGTCTCCTTTCTTCTCCTGCTCCCCGCCTCAGACGACGTCTGCACTGCCCCAGGACAGAATAATCCTTACACCCCACTCTCAGGATTTCTTAACCTCCCTCTTCAGATGTTTGAACTCGGTATAGTAGCTTGCTTCACCTAGAAATATTAACCCAGTCTCCTTATAATAAAATCACAAAGTTGTATCTGTTTTCCCCCTTGTCCCAGTGGAGAGTCAATAAATCACATGATGGCTTTGGCAACAACGCTCCCTATAACGGTGTACAAGTTACAGAGGGAGCAGGGTGGTTAAAGCAGTCACTGTAGCCATCGTTATTGAAATGCAAAGCAGAGAGCAAGGCCCACAGTTATCCACTATGTGTCTATAGGCTTCTTTGCAAGATGATGTTCTTTAAAACATAGAATCAAGAGAAATTACACATGACACAGCAGGACTGGAGTGTGACAGGAGATGCAAAAAAAACATCTCTCTGAGTTGCCACAAGGATAATCACTGGTTCTGTAATGGGGATTTATGCAGATCCAGATTGCAGATGGTCCTACTCAAGGTCTGACTCCTTCACAGCTTTGTGAAAGGTCTGAATAGACTTTCCCATGTGAGGGGCATCTTTTTCCCTTTGATACCTAAAAAAATGCAGGAGACTGTCCTATTGCTGTAGTGCAGCAAAAGCCTGTTGTGAAAAATGCCAAAGCACTGGAATTGAATTTTTCTTTGGAGAGAACATCTTATGCTGTAGGAGATTCAGCTCTCTTCTTCCACTGGATTGCTAACTGGGCAAGAATTCCCCAAAATAGAGTTTTCCAGCTGTTTCACAGAAGGCATAAGATGCTTTAGCTTCAAGGTCCTCTATTTCTCATTTCTTCTTCTTTGGTCCACAGAGAAAAGAAAAGGTTCCACATAAAAGGAGCTCATAAAGACTTAATAGTTCTTTTTAGAAAGAATATTAAAATGTGGAGGCTGCTGAGCCTTACACATCAGTCTGCTCTGTTTCCTTCTGGCCTGTAAAACTGGGGATCTTTCTTTCCTCTGCCTTGGAGGAGAGAGAAGGATATGAGCCAAAACTGATCAAGTCAGGAGCCACTGCAGGAAAGGCCTTGGTGACGACTGTGTCCCTAGTGATGTCCCTGTCAGGTGTTTATGTGACACCATTGCCTTCCTATCTCCTGTGTATCAGTGCCAAGTGCTGCTCAAATCACTTATGTAGGAGGTTAGATATCAATGGAGTGTCTTGCCTTGCCTGTGTTTCTGCAGTCACAACTCATCCATGACCTACCATCACCCAGCAACACAAATTTCATTTGGATCAGGCAGGAATACAGCACTGGATTTATGCCACATCAGCCACAGCACTGTGGTGCCTGTGACAGCTCTGGGGGTTTCTGCTGCCTGTGGGAGGACAGATGCCAGCTGAGCTGCCATACAATTATGAGTGGAACAGCCACACATGCATGGTGTTTTCTGCCAAGGAAAAGTTACCCCTTCAAAGGAAAGCCAATGTAACTGAATGAGAAGAGTTAGCCCAGTGCTTTAGGTCACATGGGCGTGTCTGCAGTGCCCTAAAACCAGACTTTTATCTTCTGATGTGCCCCCCATGAAGCCTGTTGGCTTCTGAGTATGGACAAATCATTTCTTCTGGTGAGAGGGGCGTGCTGCCTTGCTATGCAAATTAATGTACAGAGCATATTAATTTCTGATGCAGTAATCTCCTCTCCAATAATAGAGGCTGTGCAGACTATTTGATTCTCATTAGGTGGGACACAGGCCAGGGGCAGGCTTGCCTCTCATTTCAGGGACACAGCCTGCATGGGATGGTGTGGCGCCGGCAAACATGCAACAGAAGCATCTTCCAAAAGACATTCCTGGGGCAGTCCTCTCTGTCCAGCAATGCTGCTGCAGTGAGAAAGCAGTTCATGGTGGAGAAAACAGTATGGAAAGCTGAATTTTACTTCTGAGTATTTTTTTAAGTAAGCAATCCTCTGGCCAAAGGCGGATGACATTTCAATATGACTTATTATATATGTATCCCTGATGTTCTATAAAGTGACTATGATTCACATCTCAAATATTAGAAGCTTCCATTCCCCATTAGCTGGTGGCTACCAACTATATAATTGCATAACCACAAAAGACTACGTTGAAGTAACATTTGTTAAAGTAACATTAAAGGGTCTGACTTAAAACCACAAAGACTCAAAACTTCAGCACTGGAGCTGAAACCGCGGCTGTAATTCACTCAAGAGTCCACCACATATGGCATATGTACTGGAAGACCACACACTATTCATACTGGATCCCTGCAATATCTAGGCTTTGCTGAAACCAGAAGGTAGAATTCATTCTTTTACTCTTTTTTGAGAGATTTCTATGTTCAGATTAGACCTTTATTGTTAATGCTAAAAATGTTTCTGTGATTGGATCTCTTAGTTCAACAAATTCTCCTCAATTACTCTAACCATGTTGTTTGTAAGGGATAGGTAGACATGGGACACTGTTTCCATTTATTTTTTTTAATATTTGTGATGAGAATATATGCATTTTTCACCTGGGACACCCTGAAACATGCCCTGCCCCAGTCCAGAAGAGCAGCAGCAGCGAATACAACTGGCACTCGCTGCTCTAACAAGATCATGCTGTTTGTTTGCATTTACTGCAGCACCAATGAATGGGGAAGTATTTCTGAGAACTTGGTCCCCCTCAGCAAGTTTCAGTGTGTCTGCACTGCCATTTGGAGAGGTAACAGCTCAGTTTTGCCTGAGCACTGGCAGGTTCTGGAATAGTGTAGCTTTAACACACCAGGTGAATTAACGTCTGCAAAGCTCCCTGGCACTGTAGCTGTTCTGTCTCCATTACCTCTGGTAAAGCTGCCATAGTTCTGTGCTGCTCCAAAGTCAAATTACACAAAGCAAGAGGTCACGTTTGAACTGTGTTACCCTTCTGCAGGAGAGTTCAGAGGATGATGTGTGGTAACACCTAAAAGAGTTTGAATTGCTTCCCCCCAAACTGTGATATCACTGCAATGCTTTTCCTGCTGAGTCAACTACATTGAAGTTCCTGATTTAAGCCAGCTTAGCTCAAGAGAAAGTTATCAGCCTTCAAAATGATCCTTTCACTCTGAAATACTCAAAAAAAATATATATGAGTTCCATTTTCCAGCCATGTCACCACTTTCTTGCTAAAAGAAATGATGAGCTATAAAAGCCTCAGGAATAGCCTTTCTGATTAAAGCTGTCAAGGGCAAGATAGCCTCTGGAGCCGCATACTAAGGACCTGATTATCCCTTCACTTAGATATAATTAGAAATTATTCTTTTGAAATCAGTGAAATTGCAGAGTAAATCCAGTGTAAATGAGAGGAGAACTGAAGCCTGTATTATTTATTTCTAGCTTAAAGAAACCCATCCAGCGTTAGTTCCTATTTTTAATAATATTTGTATTCTGAAAGCTAAGGATTTCATATTTCATAAACCAGAATGTAACAATTTTCCTTTGCACTTGGTCTTTTCCCAGTTCATTTTTGCTGTTACAAGGAAAAATTTATAAGCCTGTATTGCCGCCTTTCTGCTGTCATAGAGCTGGACTCTCTGAAAACCCAGCAGTCCCTGAGGGAAGCAATTTCAGACAGTGAAGTCGCAGCAGCCAAACAAAGACACCAGCAAGTTATAGACTACATACAGGTAATAGTCTGTTTCTGACTATTCCAAGGAGATTTTAAGGTGGCTTTCTCAAAAATTGCATAGGGCTGTAATTTGAAATCTAAATGGAGAATTATTCACAGACATCATAAAAAGAGCAGTTGTATCAAAAGTGCAATTTTGTTTTTTATGAAATTCAAACCCAGAACATGCTTTCCTTAGTTGTTGCTTTTATAGAAGGATTTTTATGGGTAAAATCAAATGACAGTTATACTAGACTGTTATAAAGAAATGTGTCAGTCTGCTTGTAAAACTCCCTCCCATCTAACGTGAGGTAAGCTAGCACCATGTCTGGCCATTCGTTTGTGTGAGAGTTTTTCTTTGTCTGTATGAACTGGGGACATTTTTCAGCGCGATAACGTGGCAATTAAAAAAACTAAAATGAAAATTCAGACTAGGTTGAGGAGACAATCTCCACCAACAATATCATGCTCAGGAACACAGCTCTGCATTTCAGATGTTATGTTGGCCCTAAAAGCAGCTGTGAGCCTGGCCAGCACCATGAAGTGGCACTGCTTCAGTCCCCCAGTTATTCTCTGTCCTTCATCCTGATTTTCCTCTGCTGTTACCAAATTAAGACTTTACCTACTCATCTTGGGGCTCTTTGAACTACATTTCATTGTGCAGCATAGCAAAGCCTGTCCTTTTGCAAACAATTCTGGCAATTAGTTATTTATAGATAAAGCTCATGACTTTTGCAGAGTATGTCTATCGGTATAGTTGACTTGTCTTTCTACAAGAGAGATGCAAATAATTTTACAGCTCTGTATTCTAAATATTCAAGCTTGGAATAGGAGCCAAGACACCATTTTTCCCACTGACAAGATATTTGGCCCTCCATAGTTATGAACAAAAGGATAATATTTCTATTTCTCTTTGTTCTGCATTCAGACTGCCTTTGCCTTGTCCACTTGGAGCTTTTAGCAAGCTTCAGCAGGGCAGAGAGGGAAGATCCATTGCACTTGCACTCTCAATCACCTCCCATTCTCACACTCAGAAATCCTAGCTTTCTTGCTGTCTGCAGGAGAATTTGGAAAATTTTTATCCTTCACATCAAACCCAAGCATTTGTATATTAACATGCAGGTATAGACAGTTCTGTGTTCCTCTTCTCCAAAGTGTCTGAGTCACATATCTACACTGGGAAAATATAGGAGAACATTTTAAACTTCAGTGTTTTGTGCTGAATTATTGTGACAGTGTATTAGGCTTGTCAGGTTTCCTCTCAAATGAAAACCAGCTGTATTCCACCTATGGGCAAAAATATCTCTGCCCACCACATACCGCAATCTTCAGTGGTGACCACGAAACCGCAAGAGCATTTGTGTGATCCCAGATCTAAGACAGTGCTGAAGTCACTACACAAACCAAACATTGTAAAGAGCAAGGGAGTCTATATAAATGCAGTTCTGAAAAGGAGTCAGAGGGCAACTGAAAAGTAAAAATTTTTGAAAAAACCCCAACCAGAATATAAGGTACTGGAAGTCTTTACCAGAATGTTACAGAGAAAGGAATGAAATCTACAGACACTGAAACTAAAACTGAAGTTTTAATGCTTCAAATGTTCCTAAATTGTAAAACAACCACAGTTCATTACAATGTCCTGCAGAACAGCACCAGGGAAAAAAAAACAGGATTTGCATTTTAATAAACTGCATGCAGGTTGATTCTTGTTTGGGGTTGAGGGAGGATCACAAAAAGGATGTGTAAAATCTCTAAAATCAAATAGGTGAGATGTTTGCTCACTGGAAGTCTCTTCATGGAGAAGCACTGAAGTCTTGAAATTATGCAGGATTATGAATTAATCTCTGAACCATTTGCTATTCTTATTGATGTATATTCTTAGCTCAGATTAACTCAGTGGCAAGGCTTGCACTGACATCATTGGAGTTGGGATTTTACCTTTACATAAAAATGGCCATACTAGGTCAAAACCAAGATCCAGCAGCCCAGCTATCCTGCCTCCAACACAGCTCATCAGGAACTACCCCAGCAAATCTGGCATCTACAGTATCCCTTGGGAGAACATTTCACACTTTGAATATGCATTTTGTGAAATATGTCCAGCTAAGAGAAGTCGTCTTCAAACATCAGTCTGCAGCCTTTCTGATCCCTCTGTCACTCCCCAATCAGGAAATTGTTACTCCACAGAGAACCCCTCACTTTTTCCTCTCCATTACTGACCCAGAACTCTCACTGCATTCTTGCAGAATGTAGCTTGTGTAACTGCAAAGCAGCTTCCCTCAAACACTGCAATACTAATAGGAAGTCTCACTTGAAATTCAGAACCTTCTTCAGGAAAAGTGCAAGGGAAGTTCTGGAAAGGACACTGCAGGAGGAGGGTATTTACCCACAATTACTATCATTTGGTGGCTGCAATATTTGCTCTGCCATCAAAGATCTTGAATGGCTTGAAGATGTTGAAAGTGTTCCACTATCAAAACACTCTTCAGACCGACATTAAACAGCATCTTTCCTCTCTGCAGAGATATGTAAACCTACATCCTGCTATTGATTTAGGCACTTGTGTCTTATTGCCATCAACAGGCATGTGTTAGAACTGCTTTTGTGTAGATTTATACCTGTAAAATGTATGCAGACTAAAATGGTAAGGGAGAAATTGCAGTTTGGCTCATAGCTGTGCTTCTGCCCTCCATTTATGTATCCACACGTGTGTACGTTCTTTGGTAAAAACTAGGTCTGACCTGAGAAATTGCTTTGACCTGGGTTTGCAAAGATGCTCCAGAAGTCTCACTTTTATTCCAGTTTGATTCTCAAACCAACTTCCAGGTCTGCTTGAAAATCGATTTTTTTCTCCATCAAAATACAATTTTAATTTTCTTTCCATGGCTGACTTTAAGTCTGGATTCACCCCCTTAACTACACATTCTTAACTGAGGTACCTCTTAACCAAAATCAATTCTGATCACCTCAGTCTGAATGTTCTTCTGGGGGATCCTGCTGCTCTCTCTTGGCAGTGACTACAGACTTGGACACTTGAAAAAGTACACACTTAGGTAGAGTATTTTGTCACTATTGTTTTCTCCACAGCAAATTGATGAGATATGGAGGGACATGAGATGGATCACAGAAGCACTGCAGTATGCAAGATACAAGCAGCCAGCAGCAGGCCTGCCCATAAAGAAGCTTGTAGATCTTTCAGAAGAACACTCTCAAAAGAAAATGAGCTCCACCTCTTCACATCTAGATTGTCTTCCTTCACCTCCACCTTCCCCTGAGCCTAGAATCCAGAGGAGAAAAGCTGTGAGTGGTAAGAGAACTTTTCTTGTTCACCAAGCACTATTTGAACACACTTCTAATTATAAAAATTCTTGTATGTCTTTTTATAAAAGAAGCAAATTTTTCCCATACCTACCAATGTATTTTAACATTTTACCAATCATTTGCTACTCAGTATCCTGAGATCCTTCAATATCTTTGCAATAATTTTTACTCTCAGCTACTCAGAATAACTGCTCATCATCAGCCAACGTTTTTACCTCGCTGTTCCAGATCATTTAATGATCACTTGTCATTGGAAGGGACAAGTGCCATCACTGGCTTTTCCATGATGTCCAGAATTCCAGTAAAATCCATCCATGGTGAAAGCTGCCTGCTTCATTTTTTGCCTACACCCAAAATCTGCTCTTTTATATGGAGGGAGCTTTCTCTTTGTCCCAATTCCAGCTGCAGAGCCTGTGATAAAGAACATTATCAAAAGCTCTTATCAAGAACATTCTCAAGAGCTCTTACAATGTCTGTGCATTAATTGTGCACACATTCAGTGTTATATTAGACTGATGAGACATGAGTTGCTAGCAAAAGCTATTGAACCATTCTCATCACTCCTGTATCTATTATTCTTCCCCACAGTTTTCATTAATTTGACAGAATCTAACTCAAATTTTTCCATAGTTTCCATTTGCCACCTTCTGTTTCTCAGGTATTACAGCCATTTCTTTTCCAGGCTTTGAGTGTTCCTCTGCTTTGCAGCAATTATTTCTTATGCCCCTCTTGCTTTGTTTTGATAGAGCAAATTTTAGTGCTAATAGTCCAGTTCAACAGCTGTTTTCTCAATGTTTTAGAGAAGCATTTTTAATTACACAAACAAGTACCCACCTCACTGGCCATTATTACTTCTCTGCATAGTCAGAAAATTAAACTGATAAAAAAAATGTATCACAGCAAATAAAGATGAAGCAAATGGAACAGCAACAGCTATTTTGCTAACAGAATAAGGACTTTGGAGGAAAAAATCAACCATCATTCTGCTGAGCTGTCTTTAAGCAACAAGTAAATGAAACAGTAGAAACAAAAGCAACAGATGCTGCATTAAACAACTGCCATGACCATTACAGTAATAACAATTTGGGGGATTTTCAAACTGTCAGTTTTATACAGTTAAGGAAAATGAATCAATCTATTCTGATTAGATTTCATGAGGTCAAAAGAAAATAAACCTGAAGGGGCTGGTGCTTTGCTGCGCTCCACTAAAAGGTGGTGTTCTTTCTCAGCACCCTTCCCTGAGATGTTTTTCCCCCTGTATTGCAGATCATGAATGCAGAATAATCCTTAGCTCTGGCACATTGCAAACTACAGCTTTATCTTGTCCTGCACACACTGGGTTCATTAGTGCTGGGCTCTATGGCAATTTTCACTCCAAGTGAACAGTCAGCACTGTATAAAATCAATGTTTAATTCCTGGAATCTAAAATAAACTATCCAGGGCAATGGAGCATCAATCTATTCTATCACACATGCCACTATTTATTATTTTATTGATCCTTCTGAAGCCAAAAGACAGCAGCAATTTCAGTGCCAGTGTGAGATTTGGTCCACAAATTCACATTTGAATTACGTCTGTTTTGGATTTGAACACACAATGCACCTGATGGCCAAAAAGGCAGTTTTTATTTATCAACCTCCATGATGGGCCTTGAGCCTCTTGCCACACTTATATAGTTGTTCCCTGCTCACAATTACAGAGTTATAAATCTAGGGTAACTTAACTGACATCTTTAATAAAAACAGAACCTGGATTAGAGATTTTCTCTCTCACAAATATCCATGTCTATGAAATTTAGTGAAAGCAAAATAAAACAGATTCTCTCAGAACTTAATCCCAATTCAAATTCAATATTTTTCCTGTCTTTAACATATTCCATTAATTCTTTTTGGTTTTCCTAATTCTGCCACTACCTGTCTAACACATCTGTAACTCTTCCCTGATAAATCCTCCCTGACTGTCTTTGCTGTCACCTTGGCCTGTGGCAATTCCACACATACATTTCCAGCACTGGAGATTTAAAAGTAAGACAAAAACCACATAAATGACAGTTAAATCATTTCTCTGCAGAGCTTGTCTTGTGAGTGTTAACCAGCTGTCCTTGCAGACTCCCAGCCCTGCTCGGATGAGGAAGGCTGCTCCGAGGTGTTCCTCCCAACCGACAGTGACTACGACTCCAGCGATGCGCTGAGCCCGAGGGAATCTGAGCTGATTTACTCCTCGTCCCAGGACATCTCCCAGCAGGCTGGCAGTGGCCTGGGGGGCAGCGCACCCAACGTGCTCCAAGCCCATGACGTGAAGCCCTGCCTGGCACTGAGGGAAGGCCTGACAGAGTGTGGTGCCTTGGACACCAGTGCTGAATGTTGCACAGAGCAGATGAGCAGCCTGACAATGTCAGGGCTTACACCAAAAAGCACGGACAAGTCCTCCAGCTCCAAGCAGCCACTGGGCTTTTTAGGGAAAAAAAAGTTGGGGAAGCACCAACATTACAACTACTTCAGCCGGCAGCACCGCTGGCTGCGCGTGCACAGCGAGTCTCAGGGGGGCTCCCTGTCTGAAGGTGTGTACACACAGCATCCTATCAGATCTCCAGATTTTTTTCAGGAACCTACCTCCAGTGAGCAGGTGAAGATTCCCACCGATGGGTCTCAGAGCACTTTCGTACCTCATGCATCCAGCCTTCCAGAGGATGGGAAAGGCAAGGATGAGGAAGCAAGGCAGGATGTCCATAGGACACATGTGGAGCCTTATGAAACAACATTTCTGGATGAAGAGGTAAAGCCCTGGGCAATGAGCATGGAGTCTGTGGAACACACGGATGTGCACAGTGCTATGCAACAGATCACAGGTCCAGAGGAGCAGTCGGGTTCTGCTGTCCCAGAAGTTTTCAGCAGCACCCTTTAACCCCAGAATCCTGCACAGCTTCCCATCATTCCACATGAGATATGAGAGTTGTGATCATAAAGGCCATACTTTCAAAATCACTGGTAAAAATCCAGCTCCTAAAATGGCAACTTGTGCCTCTCTAAAGAATCTGAATCTTTTGACTTCATCACCAGATTTCTGGTGTCACAGAGGTATCACCTGCCATGAAGTGAGCATTATTATTACTGACATCTGCAGCTTTGCAGGTAGAGTCATAACAGTCACTACATAACAATGTGCAATTGAGTAATCAGGTTTTGCAGATCTCTTCATTCCCATGTTTCTCTGAGCATGCAAAATTTTAAGCATGAGTAGTTCTGCCTGCAAGTAAGCAGAAGCTATAACAGCCTTGGTGTCCTTATGTTAGGACTGTGTCCTAAAAGCCTATTAAACTATTTCCCACCATCTCCTGCAATTTTTTCTACTTTTCACCTTTTCTTGAATGGATTTAGTCTGGATATAGTTGAGATGCTCACTGGTCTAGTAACACTGATAACCCAGAGTTTCTGGCCCCTTAAAGAAATGGAAATTCTTTCAATATCTAGCTAATGTAATCAACACCATCTCTGAATGCTGTTGAAGCCTGGCATAATTATCACAATTGTGTTTTCAGGAGCTCAGATTCTAAATTATTTAAGTGGCAAGTAATTTTAAAAGCTCAGGAGATGAATCTTTGAGGTCAGGAGCAGACAGAAAGAGGTCAGGTTCTAGACAAATAATATGCAGGGTCTGTGTGAGATTGACTTTTCTTCTCCCCACCACACAAGAGAAAATTTTGTTGTGTTGGCATCACTTTCACACACCCATTGGAAAGAAACACCCCTATTTTTATTACTGAATATAACTCCAGGAGTATTTGATCACTATGACTGAAGCTGGAATATTCTGGCAATTCCGATTAGGGAAGTTTGGGGTGAGGTTTGAATCTGAGATTTTTATCTTTGGGCCCCAAATAAATATTAGTATGATAAGGAGGTTGGGATCTTGCTCTGTTGTGTAAAGGCAAATTACACTGAGTCAGGATTTTGTCCTTTGCAACCACAATAAACCTTGAAGCATGACAGAAGATAATCTCAAAAATGAAATCTATATTAATAAGAACCGTAACACTGGAGTCACCAAGAAATGAACTAATGTGTAGAGAGACCCCAGCTGTTGCACAAGCTTTAATTTTCTTAAACAGTTCTTGAAGTTTAATTTTATAGGCCACATTCCTGCTGGTTAAATTCCCTCACTCCGTGTTTGTGCAGCCTTCTACCTTTCAGTTTTCCAGCCTCCAGGTGGATACATTCTAAGGCCCCCAATAAAGAGATTTGAGTTAAATAGTTGAGTTTACAAGTCCTTGAGGTAAAGGTAAGGATTCGGGCCCATGATCTGTGGTCCTTATTAAAATAGCACTTCCATAACCCCAGTGCTATTAAAATCCCTGTGAACTCAATCCATAAATTCAAAAAATAAATGTTATTCACTATTTTATGTTTCGTCAGTATGTGGAAGCCAAGAAGAGTCTTTGCAGTGATAGAAGGGCAAAAAATTTCTATAAGGGATTTACATTTGTAACTTCTCATTTTGGGAACAGGAAGTTAACTTTTTGCACCAAAAATACTCATTACCTGATCCAAAGTGAGGATGGAAAGACTTCCATTCACTCCCACAGGGTCTGGATGTGACCCACACCGAAAATTCCTGTGGGTGAGAAGATGCAGGGGGAGCAGCAGTGTCAGTGCCCATTTGCAGCTAGAAGGGCACACATTGTATGGAACTGGGGATGAGGAAAGCCTGACTCAGCCACAGAGCCGAGCAGAGATGTCTGACTGTCACTGAGGGCACTCACAGCTGGTTACTTGATATTCTGTTTATTAGCAGAAGGCTTTTCACCAGGGAGAGACAAACAATGAATGTAAGGCTCCTGTGCAGAATCAAAATAATTTACACAGTTTTCCAGTGTCCAGCACCTTGCCTGGGCTCCCCTAATCTGTTTTGCCTCTAAAAAAAACTGCCATAAAACTATTAAAGAATGAAATAACCATACACTGAGGCCATATGTTTTTTCAGGAAATGATGAGATAAAACAAGATGTTCCTAAAAATGAAATCCACCTCACTTTGTTTTGGCTCATCAGGAACAATGAGGGCAAGAAGTAGCAAAATCTCCAGTAGAGAAGCACACACTGCTGGTGAGATAAGGATATTAAAATCTCTTACCTGCTCCTGCTGCTGGACCTTTCCAAAGCAGCCATATAGCCAATAAAGGATAGTAATAGTTCTTTACTTGTAGGAAGGCCTTGACTTCATCATAGTCTTCTCTGCTGAGATGAAATTTGACTCTGGGAGTGCAAATACCAGCCAAAATCTATCCTGTCTTGATTTAAACCTTGCTATGGAAGGAGTGTTTAGGTGATGGCCAATGGGATGTGCATCCTTGATCTACTGCCTCCAGACTGAGGTTCTTCCACAAACTTTAATAGTCAAAGTACTAATTGATCTGGGTTTAAATACTTCTGCCTATAAAGCACTGACTTATCTTCAGGTAAAAATGCATGTTCTCTGTTCAAAATTGCTACCCCTACCTATTTTGGGTCTCCTTTAAAGAATAGTAGTGAACACCCAGAGATAAATAAATAGTAGAGAACACCCAGAGATAAATAAATAGTAGAATGCAGTGCCTTTCAAGTACTGCCATAATACAAATCACAATTCTTGTGCAGTTCTCTTAGGAACATCACATACATATTTCAAAAGCAATTTCAGCAACTGGAAAGAATCCTGGAAAATGCACAGCACAGCACTGTTAGCCCCACTCCTCAGTATCTCTACCAGTGACTTTTCTGAGTAGAGCTGAGTAAAGGCTCACAGTCCAGAATCAAATTAAAATTAGGAATTTGGATCTTTAATTACTGGGAACCCTTTCTCCAGGCTGAGCTTGAGAGCCCCTCCAAGGGCTCTTGCACAGAGCTGGGCAGTGCCACGGCTCAGAGCCTGCACCAGTTTCAGTGGCCAGCAGACAGTTCATTCAAAGGAGCCTGTGCCCACTTTGCACCAGTTCAAGCTCTCCTCTCTAAAGGGCACTTGTGCTTTGCAACTTCTGAGTCTCTCTTACTCTTCCATCTTGCACCAGAACTTTTGTCCTGCATTTTTCAGGGAGTATATTTTCTCCTGGGCTGAACCCAGTCCCTCCTATTTCTAGCCATGAATTGGACTGGCTAAAAAAGAATATAGTGCTTTAACATTATGACTCCACAGAAAGAAATTTAAAAAAAAAAATCTCCCTGTGTAGCGGTCTCAAACTTTCCTGTTTCTGCTGCTAGGAAGTGAGATATAAGTAAACTGCAAGGTCTACACTCAAAATTCCTTGCATCCATGTGCAGGAAGGCAGTCTGCACATGGACAGTTTGCCTCAAGACATTGAGACAATAAGCATTTATTTCCCATGCTTGTATTTTTTACTTTGTTTTAGAGACTAATTAACAATTGGATTTTTTACATAGACAAAGAAATCTATAAAATAATGCTTTTAAATACAGACATTAATGGGGGAGAGGGGACATGGAATATTTTATCCTGAATATTCATATGCTTTGGAAAGAGATGGCACATCTTTAAATTCTCCATGGTATAAAGAAATGCATTAAGTTGCTGGTCAACTCTTTGAAGGTGTTTCAATGCACGGCTCATGACTGTTATGTAAAATTTCAATACAGCCTTACAAACAACAAGGGTATAGTGTATTTGAAAATAGAGTACACACTTTGGAAACCTACTCTGAATTTCTCTAAGGTGTTGAACTTTGCCATCAGCAAAAAGTATTTTTAGTAAACAGGCCCTGAATTTTCAGACAATGGAGATTTCATCAGGTTGGGTCTGATTTTTCCACTACAGAAAAACATAAAGTAACTAGAATGCTTTATTTGTAAGTATAATTTATCTTTTGATTGCATGAAGTGGAATTCATAAGGCTGAACCGTGCCCAGAAGTGAGCAGGGGAGCTGTTGGCCCCATATATTCTTTGCAGAAAGGCAGGGGAACATTCCCTGGGGTGGAACCTGGCACACTGGAGTTGGCAGCAGCGATGGCACCCACCCTCCCTGGAGCAGCCCCCGGACACTTCTGCACATCCAGGAGTCATCACCTTGATCTGATCGGGCTCTGAGCAGCCCATCCATCACTGCTGGATGCTGGAGAGATCCCACCAGCTCAGAGATCACCTCTCCTCAGTGCCAGTGTCTGTGAGCTCTGACCCAGCAGCTGGTTCTCAGCTGGGGTTTTGGGGTGAATAAGAACCAGGCTGGATTGCCTTCCTCAAGTCTTTTCACACCACAGCATCCTGGGCAAGGTCCAGCCTTTACACCAGGCAGCCCATAACAGGGGAATGTAGTACTAAGCTTGGCTATCACTAGGCTACAGAAAACCACCTATGTAGCTTTTCAAAAAACTAGGAACAAACTTTTTATGTTTATTGTTATTTCATTTTCTTTCTTGGAAAAGCTATGTGAAAATGATCTGGCACTGGAGAAGTTGGTGTGGCGCTAATCTACCTTATTACTGTGAATTGTAGTAATTTATTAAGCAGATCTGAAGCTGAATGCACAGACTTTTTGTGGTTTACTTTATGTAAAGGTCCATTTGGGCACAGTCCTGTTGTCCTTGGGCCTCACTCCAGGTTCTTTTGCACAGTGTAAATCAGGAGTAGTTCCACTGAAGCTGGGTCAGGTACAGCCCAGCACAGCCTGATGCACAGCTCCGTGTCACCTGAGACCTGGACCATCATGAAAACAACAGATTTATGCTGGTGTAAAAAATGATGTTTGTAAGGAAGACAAAAGGAGTTTGATCTCAGAATACTCCCCTGGTCGTCCCAGGTTTCGCTGGAGCCGGGCTCAGAGAGTGAACCCACCACTCTGTGTGACACCAGTTGTACTGGGAGAAACCCTCACTGCATCATTCACTATTGCTCCATATAACAGGGACCAAATTTCTCTCCCATGTTATGCAAATGAATCTCCTTCTGAATGCAATGGGAGTTCCAGTCATTTAAAAACAAAGACTTAATGGGGTTATTGGGGACTTGGGGGAGGGGAAGAGGGGTTGTTTGTTATTTCCCCTCCGAGAAAAAGTAGTTTAAGTGAAATGTTCGAGGCAGTGTTTAATTGCTTCCTGCCTTGTTTGTACATAGCAATTTGGCTGTTTATTGGTTGTCTTTGTTCAGATTTTTATTGTAACTTGTTTCTATATATGCAATCAAGCGTATGTTAAAGTTTAAATTTTGGTACAAAATAATGCACAATTTTATGTGCTCTAAAACTTTGTAAATATCTCGATGAATAATGTATGCTGTGCTAACTGTGAGCTTGAGACTGACACAACAATATTTTCATGCATATGTACCTGTGAATGGCTTGAAAAAATCAAAATATATATTGAGGATGGCCACGAGCCAAGAGTAAATGAGTGCCGTATGACTCATGCTTCTTTAATAATTCCTGAAAGAGGCATGAATAGTACATAAAATAGACAATAAAAATAATTTTCAGGACTACAAATATTTTTTATAACTTCAGATATTAAATACTATTTTAGAAAAAAAAAAAAAGATTGGTTGGTAAAAGAAATCTTACGTTTATTTGAGTGAATCATTGTCATAAAAATGTTCTTAACATAGATTTTTTTGTTTGATCTAATATCATAGAAACTCAGCTCTTTCAAGATTTAGAAGACTTGAATTGCTCTTGCATTCTTACCACTCCTGTGATCTTCTAAAATTATGCACTTCAAGTCTTCTCCCTCATTAATAAAGAAATGCTGGTGTGTACACTCACATGATCCTAAATACCACATGCACTTGTGCACAATGTTTAAACAGTATTTCTTGAAAAATATTCTGTTTGACCATCACCAAGTACCCCCATATGTGAACTTTACAATCCCTGGAAATCTGAACGTAGTTTGTGTTTCTCCCTGAATTCCTTTATTTTTATTGGAAAATGACTTTTTCTAAGGCAAAGCTTTCAAATCTACTCTCCAAATCCTTATTTTAATTCAGAAACCTGAATGAAATAGGCATGGCTCTAAGGGTTGTGGGTGAAAATACCCTCCCATCAACAGAAATGGATTTTTTTTCACATATTCTTGCACACAAAAAAGCAAAGCAAGACACTTCTAATGCAGTGTGGAACTGTGTTACTGTATATAAGCAAGGGAAACAAGAACAACTCTGTTTTGAATGCTGCAGTCCAACTGGAAGAGTTCTGCTCTGGGTCAGTTTACCTGCTTTCACAGGTGAACAGGTTACTAAATGTGTTTTACCAGTCAGATGATGCCACAACCAGGGTGAGTGACATGGCCAAGGTCACACAGACAGCTTGTGGCAGAGCAGGGACACAATTTCCTGGTTAGCATCCTCCCAACACTATCATCCATAGCCTGTGCACGGGTACATGTGGCCATGTCCACGGTGACCATGCTCTGTATTTCAGCTGTGACATCCCAACTCAATGCAAGCTTCAAAAATAACACTAATTCAAAAATGCCACTAGACTAATATTGGATATTTTCACCCATGGAAAAGATTTTAACCAAAACAGAGCCAAAGTGGAGTTAAGCAGCAGAGCAAAGTAAGTCTCAAGATGAAAGATAAAACATGTCTGTCATTTCCACTACCTTGATTTTTAATTCCAAAACATTAAGATTGGTACCATGTTTACTAAGTCAGTAAAAGAAAAAAAAAATCCAAATGCAAGTAATTAGTCATGTTCAGTGACCTAAGGAATTGACTGGGAAAAACACTGCAGGACAAAGCAGGATTTTTGTGTGCATGTGCTTCAGTTCCTCTGGTGCATTTTGCATGTACCATGCATTTTTGGAGCCTGGTTGTTTTTATGTTTTGCTTGCCCTGAGCTGAGATTTCTCCTTTCTCTCAGAAGATCAGTGAGTGAGCAGCGCAGTTCTCCCAGACATTTCCAGCACATCTGCCATGAAGGACAGCGCTGTTCTGTACCTGCCTCTGTGTTCTCTGCTGTTTTACTGAAAAGCTTCTAAACCAACTGGAAAGAAGTTACATACTTTTCTGGGCATGTTTCTGACTTGCTCTTCTGGCAGCAAAAGATACCCACTTCACTGTTCCACTCCAGTGTATTGACCTATATAAACTCTTATCTTTCTGAGCAAACTATTCACTTATTTTTTCATTCTGTCTTTAAATAAAAGCTCTGGGTTTTATTTGGGGGTTTTGTTTGTTTTGAAAACACAGGAAAAAAAAATCTTCATTTATAAGCTTCATTGTTCTCTTCCCCAGGCTGCTCTCCTCCCCAGACTGCTTTTTTCAATCTCTCTCTTCAAACAAATGTATCTTTTAGCAGAAAGATAGAAAAATGTTTCTATTTTCTTAAAGTTTATAATTAATAAATATTAACTAATCGGTCCTAATTAATCAGTAGGACTTCTTTTTCTTACCTGTGAGAGTAACATCTTTTTATTCTTACTGTCCAGTTCATCTTCATTACGCCAAAAACAACCTGGTAGAATCATCCACTCTGCTCACACACACTCAATTATAGAAATAATAAATGGAGGAGCAACAGCTAAGCCTTATAAGCTAATATTAAAGAAATTTAAAGACAAACAGCCTTTAATACCAGTAAATATACATTCCTTTTCCTGAAATATCAAAATCACTGTATTTGGCAATGTCAGCATTTTTTTTACTGAATCAATGTGGTATTTTCAAAATAGATTCTTTCAAAACTTCAACCCAATTTAATTTCTCAGGGGAGGAAAAAGGCAATGCCAAAATGTTTTTTCTTGCACTCTTCGTTATCACTTTCTTAAAATCCTGAAGTAAAATATTTCAAGTATGGATGCCCTAAGTGGTGATAAATAATTCTGTAAGAGTTGAAACACCCTCTGTAAGAAACACCAACATCTGCTACTGCTACTGATTTTAGTGGTGCTTAGGAGTGCCCCTCACTTCTGAAAATTGGGCATTTTGTTAAAGCTCTTCATCACAGGGCTCCTGGTCCCCACAGCCGTGATCATTTCTGGACCACAGATTTTCCACCTATGGGGGGGAGAGGTTCTTCACAAGAACCTGCATGGCATTTGTCTTTTCCCTTATTGCTTTTGCAAATATTTGAGAAAGAAAGGTGTTGTTTTATTTTTTTTTTCACTTATCTTCGCTTTTCCTGAAAGAAGCTAAATCAGAATTCGGGCTCAAATAGTGGAACACATGGCTACATGTGCTTTGAACCCAGCCACAGCAGAACGAGGATTTTTAATTTTTTTTCAGGCTTTTTCCTGGGGCACACTTGCTTCTTTCCCCCTTCTGTGCCTTGTAGCTCGGCCCTGATCCCCTGCTCTCTCGTGGCTCCATCCTGATCCCTCTCTTCCTCAAGTCTGAGTCACAAGAGCAACAACCCTGCCTGCTCCGACCTTCTCAGTGCCTCAGCTGTTGAGGTAAAGCCCACGCTCCCAAGGGGCTCACGTTTGAGTACAACCCCAGGATTGTCAGGGCTCTGGCTGGCAGTGCTGCCGAGGGGACAGTCTAAGGCTCTATTTTAATCTTCTGGAGCCCAGCCAAACACTGGAACGGAGCTGCCAGCACGAGGGGGGCCCTCCTGCTCACTGTGCCTGACCTCCCATCAGGAGAGGTGCTGGTGTGTTCCTTCTCAAACTACTAGGGCTCTTTCATTGCGCCTGACCTCCCATCACGAGTGCTACCAGGGATCCAGCTCCGACTAC